AGCTGTGCGAGGTGCTGGGAAAAGTCACCGGGCAGCGGGCGTCTGCTAGCTTGTGGCATCCCTGCCGTCGCCTGTTCAACTGTGTGACTGCGCTGCCGCCATGGGAGGCTGACCAGAAAACATTTCCCTGTGGACTCGGAAGAAGAGCAATTTCTTATTTGAATACATCACTGAAAAGAAGGGAGACAGATTGAAATCACAAGGCTGAAAGGTTACGTGAGTTTCACACAGACAGAAAGAAAGCGGGGACTTAAAGAAGGAGTAATAGCTGTTAAGATGAATAAAAGGCCACTGCTACATGCACCACAGAAAAGACATAAATAGATATCAAGCTTTACAAAAATGTGACACGTACTTTAATTGGTTGCTCTGATGAGAATAAGACGGCACATTATCGCTCTATTTAAGCTGTTTCCTATTTGTCCTTGCAGTGACATCCCACTGCTCTGTGATATTATAAAATATAATCTTGGAGGATATGTCTTGTGGTCTTTTTCAATTTTTCTCTTCATCAGCAAATCACATGAAAAGGCCAAAACAAACAATGACTTGATCCTACAAACAAGTATTGTCTGTGTATCCAATGCTTGATCTTATTGCTCTGTGCCATTGACCTCCACTCCTTGCAAAAACGATTAAAAACACATTAATGAGCCACACTGAGGCTGACCTTTTCCTGCAGTTTATTTTGATCCACACCAGGACTTGTTTTTAGATTTACATCTTTACTAAGAACCAACAGACTTAGGGCTTAATGCCAAAAAATGGGATAGGGGAGTCGGAAAGTATTGAGAGAACATGTTGTTGGTTTGGACTTTTCATGGAAGTATGGATCAATTCTACATAAGTGCAGTTCAAAGTGCTTTGCAGGACAATAGAACATTAAAAGTCTTACAGTGACGCCCATAGCTAGAGTTTTATGTTTTTACAGTGCTGGATGTTTATGTTGTTTGTCTTCCACATTACATGAAATGCATGCACTCACCTTTAGTCTTGTGTAGGGAGTCCTGTCTCTGTTCGAATTCAAATTGTGTAAAATCTTACAAGGAATTCACAGGAAATGTTTGGAAACATATAAAGTACTTCCATGAAAAGTACTATATAGGGAAGCAACAGAATGCAAATACCCTGACTGGATATTGCTGAAAAATGGCATCCACAAATAGCAAAAAAAATATGATTTGATATAAAAGATCTTTGCATTAACAACTTTAAATCTGCATTAATTGTTTCTTTGGCCATATGAGTGCCGTGAAACAATCTGTAAACACAACATGAATTTTATATCACTGAATAAAGTTGGTATGGAAAATGTTTTAGCCAATAGTTGCCTGAGTGAATCCTTTCACATTACACATAAGTATTGATTTATGCAGCTTTAAGGTACAAACATTACTTTAGGAGCGAGCTGAGCTGAATGCAAAGGTTTTAAGATGGAGCCATCTCATTTTCCCGACCCATTATCTTCCTCTGTACACTGCGGTTGTCCAATTGAATAGATTTTGCAGCCTTCTTGTTTGACCTGAAAAAGACCCCTTGAATTTTGAAAGGTTGCCACAGTAAATCAGTGTAACGGAAGTGCGCATTATCCTCCGCTGTACTGACACTGGTCGTGGCAAAGCTGGCAAGATAACACCCTATAAAAAGTGGCTGTTGGAAATGAGAGCATAGCCGGGTGCCAGAGAGCGGGGACTGGGAGTTCACGACCGGATGGATGTCAGCTCGATCTGCACTGAATCAACACACAGCGAAGGTTGATAAGAAGGCTTAACCTCCTCAGCTGGTGAAGAGGCTCTCCTGATGCCCACTTACATGTGTGCACAGTTTTGTAAAGATATGGGATGTACACAACGCACACATTGACGTTTTCACCTGCAGATACTAACACATGTAGAGATAATGACACACACAGAGACACAGACACCGAGACACACAGCCCACTGAGATCGGGGATGATCCTCGCCAAAATAAGCAACATCAATTGTTTTGAAAGGTTTTCATATCAGTCATTTTGACAAGATCAGTGAGAACAGGAGAACAGAAATGAAGTGGGAGAGAAAGTAGATGCAGAGGGAGGAGAGGGTGAGCTATAGATGAAAAGACAAAAGAAGGACAAAAAGCAAAGAGATCACAAACAAAAGAAGAAAAAAAGTTGAATAAAAATGAAAGCAAGAGAACAAAATAGGGGGGAATAGGCAAGGGGGGGGGTAAAGCAAGAAACTATTTTGACACAAACCACTAGTTGAAAACAACACGTTCTGAGAAATCAAACAAGATAAGAGAAGGGGAGAGATAAGACATAGACAGGAAAAGCATCAGAAAGAGTGTGAAAAAGAGAAGGTGGAGAGAGAAACTTTTCTTTGTCAACGTGGTAAAGCTTTAGCACTAAAAGGAAGCTTCTTGCTCCTTGTCCCCTCCAACAATAAAACATGAAGGAAAACAGATGTGATAACCCTTGCTGCTCAATGTGATACAGTGTCAAGTACTGAGTAACAAACACACACACACACACACACACACACACACACACACACACACACACACACACACGCACACACACTGACAAACACTCACGGTGTGTGGCCAGAGCCCCCTATCTGAGTACCAGTGCTCATCCTGACACTCTAAGAGGCTCAGCGTGTGCACTGTCTAAGATGTTTAATTCATACAGCCGCTTGCTTGTGCTCAACATGAATGTGCGACGGAGGAGGATGGGAATGCAGAGCGTTATGCGCAACAACCAGGCTGAGGATGATGCAGAGACACAAGGGAGGGAGGCTACATAAATAGAGGAAAAAGGAGGAAGAAGAGAAGAGTATCCACGGCGACAAAAAAAAAAAGGTTATAGAAATAGACACAGCTAAAAACTGCAAAGCAATAAAATGATACCAGAGACAGAAAGAAGGGATGGGAGAGTACATGTTTGTACATTCACCAGATGCTGGAACACACAGAGTGATGGATAGAATTAGAGCAGCAAAAGCGAGAGAGAGAAAAGAGGGACAGAAAAGTGAGGAAACAGTGGAAAATTTGCAGACACACAAAAAAAATAAAATAAAACCCCAAAAAACTGTGCAGGTCTCATCCAGGCAGGCGGTGGGGGCCCAGAGTGCTGAGGGTGTGTGTTGCAGGTCCCCGGAGAGGCAGGCAGGGGACTGAGTGCTAGCGATTTTCTGTCATATCTCTCTTTCTCTTCATCCCTCACACCTGTTATCCTCCTCCTCCTCCTCCTCCTCCCCCTCACCCCACCCCTCTCCACTGCAGCACATGTAAAGCAAATGTATGACAGCATGTGTAGCATTTGTAGGCATCAATTTAAAATCACCCAAAGATTGATTTCATTGTGGGATTAATCTTGACACCTTTGCATAATTAGTTTCTCAAAATGTTTTTTTGTAACCTGGACGTTGAAAGTTGTATCCTCCCTTATTGCAACTAGCAAATAAACAAGAAGTTCATTTCCCCCAAAACTGGAGCCTAAAGTACTTTTAAGCACATTTAGGACAGTCATATTATATAACAGCTTTATCTAATGGCTCTAACAACAGCTCTTGGTTTGAGAGGGTGTGAGAAATCCTTTTGACTTGTGTATATCTGCCTCTAGCATAACTATAGCTTTCTGATTCCACACCCGTCTATCTGATCAGTGTAAAGCTGGAGCCAGCAGCTGGTTAGCTTAGCTTAGCATAAAGACTGGAAACAGGCAGAAACAGCTATCTCTGACTGAAGGTAAAAATAAATCTGCCTGTACTTTTAAAGCCAATTAACATGTTCCATCTTGTTTGTTTAATGCCTACAAAACCTACAAAAGTATCACTGCTCTAAGCCAAGAAATAGTCCCTCAAATAACCCCCCAGTAAAATCACAACAAGTCCTTTTTACACTTTTACCAGAGTAGCTATTTCCCACCGTTTCTATTCTTTATGCTAAGCTAAGCTAACAGTCTCCTGGCTCTGACTTTATTGAACAATATGGGAGTGGTATCATCTTCTTACCTAATTTTCAGCAAGAAGGCAAAGAGTAAAGTAAGAATATATTCCCCAATTCCAAACTGATACTTTAACATCATTACAATTAACTTTAAGGTGGCCTTGGAGCAGCCATCAAAAATACAACAGCTTATATACTCATTTGTATTGTTATTTTGGATGTAATAACGTTGTGTTTTGTGCAATAAAAAAAACAGTACAACAAGACACAGCAGAACATAAACACAGACAAATAAAATTCCCTCCAGAAAATAACCTAACTAAAGACCTAGAAATAAAAGGCAAACATTTTAAACGACTTTAAACACATTTATGTGTTGCTTTGTATGTGGTTGTAATTTAATGCAGCTCAATTATATATATATGTTTTTTGCTCATATTCATACTGTTCTGTTCGCATATTGGTTTCTTGCTGGTGTTTCGTCTCATCAATGCAACTAACAGGACGTATTCCTCCTCCATGCCTCAGCAAAAGAACACTGTCCAAGGAAACAAAAAGAGGAAATTAAAGGTGGAAAGATAAAGAACGGCAGGTAATAGCCAATCAGAGATGAGTATTGTTTGTGGCCAGGGTATTTATTTTTGACATGAGTTTGCACATTCATTTGGTTTTGAAATGTGGCATTCGAAACTAATGAAAAATAAATACTGTGGATACACGTATTGCGTGTGTGTGCGCACATTAGAACTGAGAAAACACACAAAATGCATGTGTGCTCGTAGTGATTTCCAGTTGTGATCTACAGCGTCTCCTGCAGGGTCCCAGAGGTCCCTGATGGAGGCTGCAGTGTGCTAACCAGAGGAGACCTGCCCCAAACTCCAACGTCACACCTCTTCAGCTACAACATCTGTCACATCTGTCAGGTAATTTCTTTTTTTTTGCAAACTCAGTCTACATCTGCTGCGTGAGTAGATGTAAACACACACAAAGCCTTGCACAGTGTGAGCAGATATAGAAGTAGACGTAACTATTAGTTTTTCAATCACACACAGGAATAAACAGAGAACACATTATACATGAAGATTAATCTGTTTATTATATATACTCATCATGATGTCAATATCGTCATTAATATCCATCATTAGGCACCTTATATGTAGATAGATTGGGAGTAGAGACTTGGTCTGCATGCCTGTTGGTTACAAAAACACTCAGAACAGAATCAAAACATGCTCTCAACACAGCAGAAAAAAAGAATCTTAGATTTGTTGTCTTCTGATTGTGTTTGAGGCGTCACTTACATGTTTGCTTCTACATTTGTTTATGCATAACTAATGTGAAACCTGTGAGCGGCTGCGACTGTGTTTACTGCTAATTTGCTGAGAAAAATGTGTGTGTATATAGTAAGTGTCACCATGTGTGTGCTTGTATATGTGTATTTTACACACAAAGTCTGGGTTTGGGTGCAGTTATACATGCGTGCCAGCATGTGTGAAAGATCTTGTGCAATAACGTTGTGTGAGGTTCAGTCTGGTGTTCTTGTTGAACCGCACACTATGTATCAGCATCTATGAGTGTGTGCCAAAGCTTTTACAGGTACTGGGAGACTACGCACTGAGCAAGTTCAGGCAAATCCTCGGACACCTTGGCACAGTTGCCAGATCTTGAGCTGGTTATACCTGGATATCAGAGCCAAAAATACAGTGGAAAGTTTCCCTCATGCCTCTGGAGGAAAATCTATTCCCCTCGCTCCCTCCCCCTGCAAGTAGGGAGCAAGCACACACTCTGGAGAGTAACAATAAAGAATCAATATTTTACTGCCTACACCCAGGGTTATTACTGTGCCGCAGCCTGGGATATGGATCACTAAAACGGACTGCTACATTTGTTATGTAGTGGAAAGCCTGAAAGCAAATTTAGGTCTTGACCCAAAGTTTACACTGTCTGCATGAAATTTGTAAAAATTAATTTCAAAGACGCTTTGAGTTAAAAGGAATAGAACACTTTCAATAATCCTTTACAGCCACATTGAAGAGCAGAATTGCAATTGAATTTGAATACACACAGCACTTTCTTTACAGGGCCACAATCAAAAATATGATGAAATCCAAGGAAAGTGGTTCATATACTGTGAGATCACACAAAGTCAGCCTTGTGTTCTTTTCCCTCTGGATTTGGGAATGCCTGGACTTTGGTTTTGTCAGTCTCTTATGTGCAAATTTGAAGGCTTCTGACCATATCCGAGAAAAGCTTCAAATTTAACGAAAAGAAATAGTTTGATATTCGGGGAAATCTTAGATGACTTAGATGAGACCATTGATACCACTCTCACGTCCTTTCAGTATAGAGCTGGAGCCGGCTGACGGGTAGCTCAGTGCCTAGAATAAAGACTGGAAACTGTGGGAAACAGTTAGCCTGGCTTTGTCTAATGTTAACAAAATCCACCCTCAAGTATGTCTGAAGCTCATTAATGAACATGTTATATCCAATTTGTCATTCTATCATTTCTACACTTTGGTTTTTGCACCAATTAAACAGTTGATAGGTGGATTTGTGGACAGAGCTGGTCTGTATGCTAAGCTACGCTGACTGGCTGCTGAATGTAGCTTTATATTGAATGATCAAATATAAGAGGTGGCATCAATTTTAGTATTTAACCCTTTGCAAGAAAGCGAATGATTTCCGGCTAAATTGTAACTTTTGCTCGAAAGTGGTCTGAAGTATTTGAACATAAGAACAAAAGTAAGTTCATACAAACAAAGTGCAAAAATGACAAACAAGCAAATTAGATGTAAATTGTTAAATAGTGGCTAGCTGTTTATTTATGCTAAGCTAAGCTAAGCTAAGCTAAGCTAATTGTCTTAAATATGAATGGATTCAATCTTCTCATCAAGTGTATTTCCCAAAATTGCAAATTCTTCCTTTAAGAGGGTATACTAAATTACGTATAATGAAGAGTGATGATCAATTAATCATATTATTGAAAATAGTTATATTGTAGAGTCAGAAAGGGGCATTTGCATTAATGAATCCAGGTCTCAAACTCACCAAGCTTTCATCACTGCAAACCATTTGTCCCAGTTCACATTTTTCCCGGCTTCTAACCTGATATTGAGGAGTGGAGAAATTCCAAACTTAACGGAAGCTCGAGACCTCCCCTTCCTCCTGTGGCCTTGACAGACATGGACACGCCATCTCCAGCCGACCGTGAAATAGCCACTTGTGTTTTAGCCTGAACAACTCCATTCCTATGTGACTGTCACCCCCCCCCCCCACACACACACACACACACACACACACACACACACACACACACACACACACACACACACACACACACACACACACACACACACACACACACACAGTCCTTGAAGCTTTTGTAATCCTGAAGGACCGACTGTATGTCCCGAAGAACTGATCAATACTATTCAATCTGCCCACAGGTCTTTGCCGCATTAGGCTACAGCTACTATCCAAACAATGAATTGCTGGACACAGTGGGACCCATGTACAAATGGAATCCCATTAAAACGCAATGGCTCTCAGGGGCCGATTGCTGACCCCCTTCTTTTCCCCCCACGCTCCGACCGCAACAGTTATTTTATGCTCCTCTGACTGACAGCTCCGATCCAGAAGAGGAAAGATGTTGTTACCATGACAACAGCTCATGCTACACCGGCGTGGATACGAGCTTTTGATAAATATCACTCCAGTACACTGAAATCAGTGGCTGATATTAAGAGGTCATTATACTGGCTACAAGATATTATAATGTATTTACACTCATAGACATAGTGAAGAAGATGACAATGGTCCGATTAACAGCTGTTTTGTTTCATGACAGACAGATGTGCTTTTTAAGTGCGGTTAAAATACCTATAATATCAACAGTGAGTGGCCATTATTCACATTGACAGAGATTTGAGTTTCTCATCAGAGATAAATAGAATATCTTCCTAACAGATTGACACACAACATTTCCATAATGAGCTTTTGCACACAGCACATCTCCTTTCTACACTATTTTCAATATATCTCATCTAAAAATAGTTTCAAGCAGTGAGATGGAAAGCAGACAAAGCAATAAAGAGTCGGCGATACAGAGGGGAGGAAATGAAAAAGGCTCTTCTTTTGTTATCCGTGATGTCTTTTCTTCTTTTTCTCTCCTCATTAGCGGTAAAGAATTTCAAGTCGAAGTATCTCTCGGTTCACAAAGCCCTTTTGCTGTTCCTGCTCCTTTTTTTTTTCTTTCAGCCACTCCCTTTCCCTTTGTTTCAGTTTACCTACTGGTACGGTGCTTTTAGTGACACCAAGGGAATTTCCTTTTCGCAGTTCATCCCTTTTTTTTCAGGTTCTGCTTCATCTCCTTCAGATTGCTTTTTCACATCGATGTCGTTCATTTCGTGGGAGCCAACTTAACCATATCTAATGTGTTCAGTGCTTATTCCCAGACTAACTGTTGGTTGTTTTCACAGTGAAGTTCTCTGAGGCTTACTGTCTTCCCTAAGAGAGTGATCCACAATATGGAGAGGACAAAAAGTGAGGAGAGATACGGACACTTCACCGGGCGTTGTCAAACACCATTTACAGGATCTATGCACAGAATGACAGAGAGAAAGAGCACAAAACACATACAAGATTGTGTTAAATGTCTCGCCCCTTTTGCGGTTGTGGGAATAGTCTGTGAGGAGATAAGGAGGAAGAATAAGGGGAGGAAAGGTGTATAGTAGTGGTGTTGTGGACAGTCATTATGTTGCCACCACTGAAAGTCTCAGGCTCAGCAGAGCACCACAAGAGTATTGTATGGGAGGAAATACACATTTAAGTGCTACAATGAAGGAGCTAACATGCCACAAACAGACCAAGAGACTGCGTTTGAATGTAGAAGTGGATTATAGGTGTCACTGTTTACTGTAAGGGTAGGTGAGTTCCCTAAAAGCAAATCAGCACACACACGAGAATGTCCAATTACAAGGCAATGGTGCAGAGATTATCTTTGTGTTTAAATGCTTTTAGGAAACCCAGCCAAGCAAGTGTTAAATTCTGGGTAGATGAAGATTAGGAGGGCTTGGCTGCTGGCGTGGTTCTTGAGAGAGAGGGAGTGAAGTGATGTCTGAAAGGAGTGTAGGAGTTATAGCGTGAGAGGCCTGGTGGAAGTTTGACTGCAAAGGTCAGAAATGACTGGAGATGGGACGCCTGTAACGGAAACCTTTGGTCAGATTCCAGGAAGCTGTGAGGAATTGTTTGGACTGCGAGGAAACAAAGCAAGTCAGAACTCGTGGGAGCTTCTCAGGAGTGGCTGGGAAGAAGGCATGAGTTTTTTTTCCAGATCGGCCTTTGGAGAAGACAAGGACGGAGACCAAAGGCATGAGACAGAGAGTTGTGATTGTTCCATGGAGAAGTCTGGGGGATCATATGTTGAGTGGATGTTGGCAAGGCGGTGGGTGTCTACGTCCTTTTGTGACCGGGTATTCCTGCTCCGCCAGGCTATGGCGAAGATGGACTGCACTCCAGAGAGGCTGCAGGGGAAAAAAAGAGACAGTGAAAGGTTAATTAGAGAAAATAATAGAAAAGACGGCTGGGGGTGAAACAGAAGGCTTGTTTACACTTTGTTTTAACATGCATTTCGATTATCTGAACCGTGTCTTGGACAACCGAGACACATAAGCATTCACATCTGTGTCAGATTTGTTTCACACAGACTAGAAAACCAAAATGTTTTAAGAACTAATGTACATGTACAGACTATTCCAACTGTTGAGATACAGCACAAACATATTTGTGACACACAACGTTCTTGCATTGATAATGTATTTTCCTGTTATGTCCTTGTCGGAGATTTAGCGTTTATCATACAAAACATCAAGTCAAGTGGTTTGAGGGATCGGATCACAATGTCTCACAATGTGGTCACTTGTATTTTAGTCACCTTGTGGTCTGATCACCCAAGACCTATTTTAAAGTTTTAACAAGGTCCAATCATTAGTGGCAAGAAATAGAAAAAAAAAATGAACACAGAAGAGCAAAAAGAGAAACAATGACGACCGTCACAGGAAGAGCGGGGAGGGCCGGGTGCAAACCGAAACTGAGCGAAGTGACGTAGATGAGAGAGGAAATTAAGAAGTTGAGATCAAACAGGAAAAAAAAGAGAAAGGGCCAAGATAACAAGCACGGGCACAGTGAGGCATAAAAATGGATCAGGGGGATGGAATTAGAAAAATAGAAGAGAGAGGGGGGAGATAAGAGAGACAGGATAAAAGAGAGAAATAGGGAGAGAAAGGGGGAGGACGAATAAAAAAAGAGACATAATTATAAAATGGCACGAGAAAATCAATGCAGTGAGCGTCATTGTGCTTGCAGGCGCCGTACAAAGGGAGGTGGAGAGCAGCAGTGTGTCCATCAAACGCATACACACCACCACATGTCAGTGTCACACCCACACACACACACACACACACACACACACACACACACACACACACACACACACACACACACACACACACACACACACACACACACAGAAGCATTTCAAATGCAGAGTAAAGACAAGGAGGATGAGTCAGGCAGATGAAGCGGAGAGAGACAAGTGACATTTAGAGCTCAGTCGGAGCATGTGATGACAAGGCACAAAGATACATGCCAGCCCGACTTTGACAACAGCTTGTGTGTGTGTGTGTGTGTGTGTGTGTGTGTGTGTGTGTGTGTGTGTGTGTGTGTGTGTGTGTGTGGATGCAGAGCTTGGTGCAAGGAAACAGATTTGTCATTTTATATATTATTTTATTCAACTGAAGGCAGAGAGCCAACACAAGGATGAGGATTCATATTAATATTTTGAAACTCAGGGCCATAGTAAAAAAATATGGAATAAGAAAAAGTTTGCAGACAGACTTTTCAAGTGGTGGAAGAAGTACACAGATCCATTCCTACCTATGTATATACCTATGAATATTATATTTTGGCCAATAGAGTCTCCTCAATGTAACACACTGGACCTTTAATACAAAATCCTCTCAAATTGGGACTCTGTGGTCTAATGTGCATCTACTGTGGGGGTCCTCGACATAAAAAATGTTTGTGAACCCCTGCTCTATAACAATACATAAAAGCATTTTCTGATCTGATACCACTGTCAGCAGCCTGACCTGGTCTGTGACTTCCAAAACTGTAACCAATTACTGTCACAATGCTATGGTTAAGATTTGGTTAAGTTTAGGCACAAAAACAACTTGGTTAAGTTTAAGGAAAGATCGTGGTTGAACGTTTCAGTCCAAACGACTACTTTGCTGAGGTCAGGGGTGCCTCATCATTATGGCTATGAAAATGAACATGTATTTATGGTTTGGTAACAATGGTGGAAATCCAATCCAACCTCCTCCTGAAATTGACTTTTTCACTCTATAATACTGTCACATGACGCCCTCATTTGCTCCAGTGATAATTTATAGTCACGAGAGGTGTTTTGTCACTTGACGTAAACATGTTGTTCTGATATGACTGATGCTGTTATTCCTCATCTTTTTGTGTGTAACAAAAGTATAAAGCAGCATAAAATCGGAATACTCAAACACCTCAAAATTGTACTTAAGTACAGAACATGAATAAATGTAATTAGTCATATGCTTGCTTATTATTACACACACACCCACAGACACTAATACACACACACACACACACACACACACACACACACACACACACACACACACACACTTTAACAGCCATGCAAATTCAACAACGTAATAGTCACCATTATTGGCAAACACAGCAATGCTTCAAGCTATTTCTGCTCAAAAGCATGTAAACACCATGTCAGCCCACACACACACACACACACACACACACACACACACACACACACACACACACACACACACACACACACACACACACACACACACTCCTTGTTAACTGTATTAATGCCAGGGCTTATCAGTGCAGTGGGACCACACACCACAAAAGGCTGAAATTCATTACAGTCGTAGGAGGGCCTTGACAAGCTGTCAGCATGTTCGAAAGATTCTTCAAATCCCCCTCCCCACTCTGCCATCGGACAATGGTGAGACACACACACACACACACACACACACACACACGTATGCATACACACAGGAACGTCTACTGGTCTACATCCTGTTTTTAAGGATAGTTTGCACACACAGACGCAAACAGCCACATTTACACCATCAAACACAGAAAACTCTGCTCTGAGTCTTAATTTCATGGGTAGTTTACACTGGCTCTCTCGATCACAAGCACACACACACACACACACACACACACACACACACACACACACACACACACACACACACACACACACACACACACACACACACACACACACACACACACACACACACACACACTTTTTCTGAGGTAGTGTTGAATGGAAAGCATGCCCAGAGGTGCAGTTCAATGACATACTCTTTTTCCAATTTATGTACGTCACTATGCCTCTCTTGGCTGCCACAGTACATACACACAAATCCTTTCTCCCTCACACACACACACACACAAACACAAACACACAATACACATGCTCTGCATTTTAATATTAAGGATAGTTTGCTGTTATGGCTGTGGTTACGTTCATAGGAAAACATTTTCTGATGATCAAAGAGATTATTGTTACCATAAAACCACGCAGAACAATAAAAACCTGGATGCTTTTACAACCTTTAAGCAAACATATTTTCCAATCTAGTTGAACAGTTAAGTAGCAGAGTAAAACAAAAGGAGTATGATCATCCTTCCGCTAGTGCTGTTTCAGTCTTCAAGGACAGAAAAGGGCAAATTACTCTGGAAAATCTTTTCTTTAACATAATTACTATAATCTGCCAAACCTAAATTAAACAGACCAGCATGTGAATGCCTCTCTGACATGAGTGTGGAGTGTGTGTGTGTTCCAGTGTCTGACAGAGAATTACATTTTCAACATGTTTCTGTGGTGTGTAATTGCAAGTGTGTGTGTGTGTGTGTGTGTGTGTGTGTGTGTGTGTGTGTGTGTGTGTGAATGAGAGGCAGAGAACACTCGGTTTGTCTCCAGTTATTAAACTAACCAATTACAAGGCCCACTCATCACGTTTACGTCCCAAACAAAGGGAGAGTTGATCTATTATTAATGTACTGTTCCGCAGTGTAATTCACACACGGATTTGGTCTAATACCCATACGTTCACACATGAATGCTTGCACGCACATCACAGACACAGACACAGACACAGACACACACACACACACACACACACACACACACAAATAATGCTCCTGTAGGCTGCAGTAGCTCAGTCTCCTGTGCCACCGATACGAGTGAAGAATGTGATTTGCCAGTATTAACAGATGAGGAGCTTTTCAGAGACAGGTAGTAAAACGTCTGGATCATCAAAATTTCTCTCTCTTCCTGCCATGCTTCTCTCCCATCTTCATATCTCTTTCCATGGCTCTCACCTGTGCATTCGTAATCAGACGTGTCTTGCTTGTTTAATCTGAACACACCTCAGCGTGCAGCCGCATCTGTCACCCCTCTGCTGTGTGCCACGTCTTGCAGTAAAAACGTATATAAAGATGCATTTGTGTTGATTCTGTCCATCCAGCTTTGAAGTATGTATTCTATAGGCTGGATCCAGGCTTTACCTTGCAGAGTATCCCTGACAGGCTGACAGCTGGAAACCTTTAAATGTTTTTAAAGGATAAGAATGGTGAAATGCAACTTTTTTCTTATTGTTAACAAATGCCATGGAAAAAACAACAACAACAACAACAACAACAACAACAACAACATGCTAGTAGCATTTGTTGTGTAGCCAAGGCCTGGTAAAGCGTATTCCTCTGTATCATAGATTTCCACAAGACTCAGATTCAACAGCCATGGCTAATAATTCTGTGAGGCTGTACTTTGGCAAAATGGTGTTTTGAGCTAAATGCTAAAATCAGCATGCTAATATACTCATAGGTATAGTATTAACAATCTACTGTTAATGTTTACAAACTTCACTATCTTAGTTTAGTTAATTTATAGTTGTTGTGCTATTTAGACCACAACAAAAATGTCAAACCGCTGGTGGCACTACAGGAAATGTCAGTTGACTTGACACCCCTACGCTGCTAGTGTGACTAAAAATTGAGACACCTTTTCATACTGCGTTCTTTATTACGATGGACACAATGTATTCCAAAAATCGATTCCACAAAGACCATCCTTCTGCCGTAAATAATTATATTAATCCTCAGTTGAAAATATTCCAACAAATGCACTGTTCACTCCTGTTGGAGTAACTTGCTGCAGTTTCCACTGTATTAGAAAATTATTGAAATGTTAAATGTTAAAAAAATGGCTAGGGCCTGAGTGCTACAGACAAGGTTATGAAGTTGGAAACATTTTTTCGAGACAGGCTGACACATTATTGATTTTGGTCTTTTCATGGGGTTTGTTGACAGTAAGAAATATTGCTTGGATTGAATACCTTCATTCACAATTCAAATCCTGGCCTTCAGGAACAGGATGGACAACGTTGAT